GAGAGGTCGTGTCTACTACATTACTACTACTTTAATCAACAATAAAACAACAGAACCAGTGACTGTGTCTACTACAATACTACTACTTTAATCAACAATACAAACAACATACCCAGTGACTGTGTCTACTACATTACTACTACTTTAATCAACAATAAAACAACGAGAGGTCGTGTCTACTAACTTATTACTACTTTTAAGATAAAAATAGCATGTACTACATTCCATATCTTTAGCAATGTTGCTGTACCTTTGTTAAATCAGTAAGTCTATAAGAACATAAGAAAAATGTTACTGGTAACTTGGTAACTTTAAGCTGAATTGATTAGTTTCCAGACCTTGTTTTTCCAGAGCTGTCACGATATGAACTTCTGTAAAACCCCACCAGTTTGTCGTTCAGATTTCCCGTGAATTTCATGGCTACTTCATGCTGTTCTTGAGCTTTGAGACTGTTGTCCAGGTGAAGGATAAGAAACTCTCGTTCTTCGTCATGGCTGACTTTCTTTATCTTTGGACTCGCGCCACCTTTAGCTCGACGGAGTTCTATGGTGTTATGATCTATTGTTAAATCATTGATGTGCACCGTGATGTTGTCTGTGGGCTGTGTACATAACACTGTGATTCGAACCGATCCATCAAAAGTAAAGTTGTCCGGGATAAGGAAGGGTTGCAACTCTACCTGATAGTGTATGGGAACAACACTGCTAGGTAGAAGAACGTAAGGGTACGTTTTTTTCTTGAGTTTCGAACTTTTTATGTTTTCGTCATTTTCTGTTTCCGCACACTCGGAGGGAGATAAGTATCCAACTAAAATACCGACGATAATCAGTGCTAGTAGGAACACTATAATGACTATAATCACCGTCTTCTGCTCCACGTACCAACCCTTCTTTCTGCTGCGATCTGAGGGCTCATCCCCATTTTCTTTGTCCTTTACGTTCATGTCTAGGCGTTCGCGGCTTGACGGAAAATTCATCGCGGATGCACTTCGGTTTCTGTGCGTGTGCAACGTTTGTGACACACGAGCGATCTGCTCGTAACGCTCGCTGCTCTTCTGTTGTTGTGGCGCAAACCTGTGGCAGCTTGTCCCGTCACGTGAATATAGTGCTGAAAAAGTTGTTAAACATTGATAATCAGGTTTTTCAACAGTAAACTACCGACTCTGTTTACTTTACGGCAACAGTAACAATGTTAAATGTGTTGTTTATCCTATGTGAAAATATTCCAGAATTGGAAACTACTAAATATTATATTCAAGTTGTTGTCTTCGGAAATGTTTAATATCAGAAAACTAAACTTGAAAACTGTTAATCATCTTATTAAGACTTGTGTGACAGTTTACAATGCATGAACAGGAAGGGTATTCCCCCACCACTATACATAAACGTCAAGTGAATGATACGAGAATACTTGAAGCCACTCATATGTGTATTCTCTTTAGAGATGATGGATCAAGGAAACTTTCCTCTATGAGAAATCATGAGGAGATGATCCATTGTATGCTCCTCTACTCAAAGTTATAGAGAATATCAATGAGTTCTAAAGATCAGCTAAACTAAATGTTATTTGTAATTAAGTTTAGAATTATCGATGTTCTACCGGTTCGTTTCATAAT